CATGAATCGAGGGGTTAGCAGAAACAAAGAAAACGTTTTAGTGGCCGCGAAGCGGTCAAACGGGACACTGAAGGTCATTTTCTATAAACACGATTAGCCTGTGCAAATGCCTAGGCTATTCACTGTGATGCTTTTAGTGTGGTTTGTCGCAAAATGCACAGAACCGATGACGGACGAAAGCCGGCAGCCTTTCGGTCAACAGTGGTTTTCAAATAACTTTGATGTACTAAATTTTTGGGCAGAGCGCATGTTCAGATCTATTATATTGAAAATTGCGTTCAACCGAGTAGGTTTTAGGTTGCTAATACCGGCTAGAATTACACTTCAGTTAAAAGTGACTGCGATGATCCTCAAAGCTGTCGAGAAAGTTGTCACTAGTTGACTGGCATATTTCATTATAGATAGCTTAAATTAGCAACAGTTGAAAAATCTGCAGCAGTGAAATATCAAAATTCACCTTTCGGTTAGCTAGTACTTCTTTCGTTTCTTTCATCTTATCCATATTACTGCAAAGACAAATAATGCAAAGACTTGCTTGACAAAACTATTACTTAAACAAACAATACCTGGGCGTAGACCATGGGTTACTTCATAGGAAGTTCCCAGTTTAGAAGATTAAACTTATAAATAGCAAGTGAGTTATCTAAAGTCGAATGGAAACTGTGGCCTGTAATTTATAGGCTTTCTCTCGATCTTGACCACTGAGTCAGATTGAATGACTAACTACATACACGTTTATATTAATTTCGAATCACCAACCTCTTGCATAAAAAGAAAAATTATCATAAGATGCAAATCCTTATCATTATCAAGGCGCGTAATCGACGGGAGGCTGTTTGCCGCACGAAAGAATGTCCTCTGGTCATCCTGTTGATGAACCTGGGGCTGAAACACTGGTGCAGTAGTTGGAGTCGATGTCTTTATATCTCTTGTTGCTTGTACTTTTTGCTCTGTTTCCTTCGAACGGGAGAGACGTAGAACGATGTAGAGCAGCCATGTCATGAGCAGGCCTACCTGTGAACCAAAGGGCGCCGATGTTGGCTTCGATAAAAGAGTGGTGATTTGGCGACTTCAGAACAGTGGCAGCCTCATCTTTACCACCATGTGGTTATGACCGCTGGTCAGGATTTTATGACAATTCCCTACAGCCTCACTGGCCAATCATTTCGCGGATCACGACAAGCCTTCATGGCTACTACACCATTTAGGGGGGAACAAGATCCACCAGACTTCATCGTGCCGGGCAATCCTTCACTTTGATAGCATTATGCGCCCTGCGACAGGAACGAGAGGATGATTTTTAGAGAACTTGTAAATTCTATCCAGCTGGTACAGCTACACGACGGCCTCTGTGGGAGAGTGCGGATAGCGACTGACGTAGGCAACGCACGAGAGTGCGAAGAAAGATGTAAAATCCGAGCAACTACGGTATCCGTGAGACGGGTCATGAACTTTGAAACAGGTGAATAGTTAGCAGCTGGTAGTCTGGGTTGGTAGGAGACAGTAATGGAAGTACGCAGAACAGTAGTTAGAAGTGTAACGACCCGCTGAAGTACCCACTGGAGCAATATGCACAACCAATGTTGAAGTGTTTCGGGCATTGCTATTGTCATCACTGATGGAATGCAGCAAGGATCTCGAAGGAGAGACTGAATTTTTAAACAATTTCCTCAAGCAAGTTGCTAAATAGGTAAAACACACGTGAACAAACAACGTACCAGTCCAGTCTGTGCAGACAATCCATGGTAATGACAACAGAATTCATCCACGAACAGTTCATAACCATATACCAAAAATAAACCCCGGTATCATCGGCTTGCTAGCAAACTGCTAATTTTCAATACCGCAAGATCGATAGTTTCAAGTTATTTTGTTATGTCCGTGACTACTGAGTGAGGTATATTTGATGGTGTTCGAACTCGCACTTGCTGACATAAAGAGTAGTGCAGTTTTACAGCCAGGCAGTGCAGGCGTTTAAATGCCACGGAACAATGATCTGTTTATACGGTCCCTAGACTACTAGAAGTTCTGAGACGGTGCGCTACACCTTGCAAATCAGGCGAATTGACAAGAGAATATAATTCATAACCATATTGTGGTTTAAATATCCCATTTAACAAAGAGGTTTTGCTCAGCGTTGCTAGCAGACTAGCATGTATTGTCATTACGATTTTAGACTTGCTAGTACTTTGTCGTTGACGCAATCTGCAATGAACGAATACAGGCGTCGCAAACTTTCAGTGCTCGTTTTTCGCAAAGGTTATGGGTTGGTATAGAAATTGGCTCGTGAAGTATGAGCAGTCGATTCTACTCATTTGACTGGCTTTCGTCATTCTGCTCATGTACTGAGGTTGTGCCCGAGTGCAACAGCTGTTCAATTCACGTGCCGCACCGCTAGCATAACTGACGGCCATTATTATTCGCTATTTTCCTTGTGCTGACCTTATCAATTGTTATATCATAAATAAACATTACCCAGCAAAAGCGGAAACATTAGAACACGCCAAGGATTCATTTTCACTAACAAAATGGCCACAGTTTCGACTCTAGTTCAGAAAACTTATACAAACGTAAAATGTTCACGATCAAAGAGAATGGTTTTCTTATAGCGCTCAAAATCCTGAAAACGGATGGTTATTACTTAATTTTGGATTTGAGCTTTGCCGCTGCATAACACAGCTATCAGGTGAGTTAAGGCGCATCGTCAGCGTGCATGTGAGCCAACTGAATGGCAATGTCATGACTCATTAAAATTGTGGATGGGATGTTACGTCAAGGGGTCAAGTGACTAGTTTTATCGTAGATTATTTTTCTTTTATTGGCGACAAATTTATCAAAACCATATCATTTGGCTATAGCTGTTGCTCAAAGTGTGGATAAATACAAGCTCTATCCTTGGGGGGGGGGCATTGTGGCACACTGGCAAAGAAGTTTTCCTCGAAATCCTGAGGTGCCGAGGTCGAAATTGAAGATGACATGATTTATCTTAACCCATAATTCCCTCAAGGAAACAATTTTGCCCACGTCGCTTCGGTCAACGAGCCGAGAAATAGGCAACTCGCCGACTTGCGAACTGCAAAAACAGAATGATGCTCTGATGCGATCATAACAGAATGGACGAGAGGAAGGCCATGCCATCTGATGCGAGCGCCTCATAGAACTGCAATTCGCGTTGACCCACCTGTATGTTGCTTATTCAATGTCATAATCAGCAAAAGCGAAACCCATGTTGTTGTTCGCAGCATAGACAGTAGATTCTGCTGTACCCTGTTGGGTAAGTATATAACTACACCCTACAATTCTCTCGTCCAGGAGAATATTATTGTTCAGTATTCCATCTCACTCTAATATGCCTCATTAACATGAAAAGATCCACTTTGATGATTTCATAACACTGAGGCCTTCCTTCAGAATGCGGGCTAGAGTATAAAAATTCAGATACCCCTTAGTAGTAACAATGTCATCAAAATTGCAGCCTTAACTGGTGACGATTTTGATTGTAAAGTCGTTACGAATAATCTTTATCATGCGCTGCATAAGGGGCTGACCTGAACGAAATAATATTCAACATCAACGATTACCACATTATGTTTGTCAATCATAAGAGTTTAAAGGTATCCCTCACTTATTTTCTTCCGGAAATAATATCTTTCTAATTTGGTTGATCTGTTTTTGCCCTGCTTTGTCCGTATCCCTTTTGTGTGAATTGCAAGATAGGTACGAAAGTGCGTTAACGGTTTTCTCGTGCCCAATGATATGAAACATTAACGTGGACTTTTCACCGTGGATCAGAATTTCAGACTAAACGGTAATTAGAAAATCACATTTTGCTTTCACTTTTGCAATTTTTTGACGACTAGTCATGGTGAGTTTAGTTCTCTCTCTCTGTTCTTGAGTCCTATGCGTCCACTTAGGTCATTTTGTATAAAGAAACAAATCTCCACTCCAAAATAGTGGATTCTGTGGTTGCGATAGATAGCACACTTTACGCGAGTTGATCGGAACAACCACTGTCACGATTAGGTTAGATGCAATTGATTCCAAAAGCTGACATGTCCTTATACCTCTTCGAATAATTTTGAGGATTGTCCGATTATCCGCATCCCGTTTTTGTCATTGCCTGCCTTTTGCAGCATACTTTTGAGTAACGATTAAGTGCTGCGATTGGTTAGCTTCTTCAAACAAAAATTTGTTTCTTATTTCACTTAGCAAAATTCTTTATCTTCTTTTCAGCATTTTACTTTGTCTCCATGAGAAACGTTCCATCCTAAGAGGCATGTCTACAGATATGAGGTATGTATTACTGCCGTAAACCGTCAAACTTTAAAAGAAAGATTTCTTGATCATAGCATACAGAAACCTCTTCTAATGAGTCACATATAGCACTTCTATAGCGATGTTAATCGCTTACCACTTTAGCCAGTGATGAGAATGGTCGCTGAAACAAAACTTTGGTTTTTTAAATAATATCGTGTAAAAGAACTACCTGAAACGCCAGTTAGTCTGTACTGCCATTGAAAGAAAAGGCAGCAGTAATGTTATTGCTTAAAATTTTGAAGTCCAAACTCTTCCAGTAATTAAACGAAGTTTATCTCTAAAACAACATAAAATATACGTTGGCAAAGAGCAAGGATTCTTAGCCAAAACAAACCAACGATTGTCTTCATTGACAGCCATAATGAAAGACAGCTGAGCTATAACACTACTTCAACCCGTAAACAAAAATGACGAAAACTATAAAGATAATTGCACTAGAGAAGAACACGCGAACGTGC